AGATTTTCCCCTGTGGATTTCTTTCTTCAGTTAAACTGACCTCGTTAATGTTTTTTGTACAGCAGAGGTGAAATGTATTTAAAAAACAAAAATCAAATATTCACATACAATACCACAGTAGTACTTTATGCTCTGCAACCGCAACAAAGATAATAGATTTGAGTGAGTTATACTGTACATCACAGGACATTTGTTAGAAATAGATATAGCCACACAGTAGACCCCCCGCCCCCACGCCCGCCCTCTCCAAATCCATCCCCAGTCCAACTCCCAACCCAAATGGGCAGGGTCACGTCAGGCAGAGCATCTGGTGTAAAAACTTTGCCAAGTCACTGCTTTGATGACCCCTGATGAAAGGACAAGCTGAACAAACTGAGTCTCCTCTAAATACACGGAAATGTTATAGAAAAAGTTAATAAATAACAATGTGAAAAAATATGTAATATTAACATTGACACTGACACACAGGTTATATGTGTTCATCCATGTGTGTGGTCTGTCCCACCGTGGACGGGTGACAAAAAGCCGGTGCAATTTTCAGCTCCACCATCGGGAGGCAGTAGTCATTAAATTGTCGCCTGCTCCTTATTTCAATCTTCCGAGCAGAGCAGACAGACCTGTCACCCTGACCCTCAGTAGGTCTGACTGTCATACTCCTGTCCCCCCCCCCAGTGTTGTTGTTTCAGGTTGTAGTACTCCAGCCCAGGTGCAGGTGTTTGTTTACACAACGTATGTAGAAGAATGATCTGCAGCAGCAGATCTGTAGAGATTGTACTGTGTACACAGGCCTGAGGAGAGAAGGTTCCAGAAGTAAACGGCAGAGTCAGCAGCGCAGCGAAGTTGCTGACTGTAGACGCCGTCAACACGATGTTGTTGCTGTTGTTGTTCTTGAGAGCGCTGCATCTTGACATTTAAATAAAAAAAAATCTTTACTGATGATGTGTCCTTATAGTCGACATTAGCTTCAGTTGTAACTTCTTCTGCTTTTTGTCCATTTCCGACATTAGCTTCAGTTGTAACTTCTTCGCCTTCTGCTTTTTTTCTCTTTTTCTCCTTCTTCTTCTTCTTCTTCTTCTTCTTCTTCTTCTTCTTCTCCTTCTTCGTCTTCTTTTTCCTCTTCTTCTTCTTCTTCTTCTTCTTCTTCTTCTCCTTCTCCTTCTTCTTCTTCTCCTCCTCCTCCTTTTTCTTCTTCTTCTTCTTCTTCTCTGCTTGCTGCACTGGAGATCGCCTCTTTAATTAAGGCCTTTTGAATACAGACATGGACTGGTAAAGGTGAACACCGTGGAGTGAGGAGGCAGATTTAATTTATGGTTGATGGACGGTGCCGTGTGGACACTGAGGTGCTGCTGCTCTTAGAGGTTAATACGGTGCAGGTCAGGGAGTTAGGTGTGTGTGTGTGTGTGTGTTCACATGCACTGGTCTGGTCAGTGCTTTAATAACTGAGGATCTTATTTTTTTAATGCTTGGTATTTAATGGTCTTCAGGGTGTCCTCTCTGGACAGGAGGGTGAGTCTGTGTGTGTGTGTGTGTGTGTGTGTGTCCACCTCTGGGTGGTAGGAGACGCTCAGTGGGGGATTCTGAGTGTAATTACAGGCGTTTTTACACCATCAGGACAGAGGTGGTGGTGGTGACTGTACAGGTCTGAATCACTCAGAGTGTGTGTGTGTGTGAGTGTGTGTGTGTGTCCTAGACTCGTTTAGCACGATCACAACAATGAATGGCGACAGCATGTTAATGTGATGCCTGACATTACAGGAAAATTGATCACGAATATATCTGAACACAGCGCCCCCTTTGGTTATTTTTTTTTAAATTTATACAAACCAGATTTTTCTGACTACAAACATATGAACTTGTATGACTTGTTTGGGAAAACTCAGTATGACTCATAAAAAGGACTGAATGAATTGTATGCAGCACTTCACTCACACCCTGCAATATATAGTGACAAAATATATCATTATATTTTGTACCAATACAAAAAAAATGATCATTGATTTTTTTTTTTTGTTGTTGTAAACTACGTAGGTGATTTTGGACCAGTTTTATTATTTTTTACTAAGAGACGTGAGTGTTTTTTTTTGTACATGCAGTGATGATAAAAAAACTGTAATTTTTCAACGTGTCGTGTCGGCGTAAACTGTAATTAAAGCTCAGTCGTTGCCGTCACATCAAACCTGGCGCTGGAAACAACGACCAGTTAAACACAGATTTTCTCTCTCATCATCTCTCCAAGTGTTTGGAGATGATGACTGACCTTCAAATGTGAAATGGAGAAGTGTTTTTTTTAAATAACAACTTCTAGGTCTGTGTGTTTCACTGAAGGTCCTCTCCAGGGTTATTAAACTGCATCAGCGGTGAAACCATAAGTCTGGTGGTGTCGGGTCAGTGGGTCGAGTCTCCTGTAAGATTTGCAGAAATAGAAACATGTTTCAGTGAGGGACAAACAAACACGGGTCAGTCCTGAGAGCAGACAACAGGCCGAGTGACAAAAAGGCAAAAAAGGAAAGGGTTTAAAAAAAACAAACGGCCGAGTGACGAAAAGGCAAAAAAAAAAAGGAGGCCGAGTGACGAAAAGGCAAAAAAAAAGGAAAGGGTTTAAAAAAACAAACAGACCAACAAATCCTCGGGCAGTTAACTACACGAATACCGTCGTGTTTGACTCAGGATGCAGAAGTGATGGGGATGAGGACGGGGCATCCCACTCACCCTCTGCACGGCCGGAGACACACTGCTGAGCTGCTGTCATGGCAACAGCAGCCACCGCCAGCTTGGGCCTGTAACGTGCACACAATAACACACACACACACACACAGACAGTAGCAAACACACATTTAGGTTGTTAACGTCTAAATAGGGTTGAGTATATGTATTTATAAATAGGTTGTGTTTTTTTTTCTTTAGACAAAGACAAAAGTTGAATTCCTTTTTTTCCTGGTCAGATTATCTTTGAGAGGAACAGTCCAGTTACTTCCTCTTCCGCAAATGACTGATTCCACTGTTGGCTCTGCATGTGAAGACGCCACACCCAAGAAAAAATACATTCTTTTTAAAGTATTTCTGTAAAGAAAAAGGGTTTTTTTTCATAGCACTGCTAAACGTGTTAGCTTTATTTTAGTCTGCCGTCATCGCTAGATTAAAGAAATAAACATTACTAGTTTGAAGTGGAACTTTGTCCTGCATGTTTTGTGGAGGATCAACCAACTGTCACCTGGTATGAAGTAAAACTGGACCAGGTTGTCTGCGTTTTTGAGGAACTAATGTGAGGAGTAGAAACGGAAACTATCAGTCGAGGGAAAACACCTTTATTATTCAGACGTGAATGAAGTTAATGACCGTTAACCAAACAAAAAAAAAGTAAAAGTCATGTCTGGAAATTACAGGTGTCGAAAAAAGTCAGTACAGACTTAGTAAATTAAAAATAAAAACAAATAACATCAGTAGGGAATCCCCACAGAGAACCACGAGATGTTAGCACGAAGCTGCGGGGAATTTTTTTTTTATGTCCGTCTGGAACAGAGAATCTTAAAAGAGCGGATGGACTCGAATTATTATAAGATTGTGAGAGAATATGTATTTGAAAAGAAAACCTCAAAGAGTCGATCATCAAATCTGGGACTTGAACATTTCTTTGAACAAACCTATGGTAGGAGGACGTTCTCTGGTGGCCAAAAAAATGAACGTCAAAGACTGGGACGATGCACAAAAACCTTGACTTGACTTGACTTGAATCCCAGTGGAGATTAAATATAAAATATACTGTATATGAGAGAAGAGCGGGGGATTCTGAAGGAGAACTCACTGGACGTGAGAGTTTATGATTCAGCATAAATCTCACACAAATGTTGGCATAAAATTTAATATTATTATAATTATATGAGTTGTCGTTTCGATCTGTCGATTTGTCGATCTGTCGATCTAAACCCTGGTTTTCATAACACTGCAAATTGTTATTCTATTCATCACAAATTATTCCTGCCCCCCCCCGTGTCTCCCCTCTCTCTCTCCCCCATTATTGTTATAATCCTAATGCATGCACCGTTGCGGACCGAGCCAGTTTCCAGTGAAATGCAGATATGAGTGTGTGTGTGTGTTTTTTTTCCTTTTTTTTTATTATGGGATAGACGCAGCACAGCGTGCGAGAGCAAATCCCATTCAAACAGGTGTGAAGAGCAGGAACAATTCCAGGCGGCGTGTGTCGATCTCGGATACGCGGCCATAAAAGCAGCGCAGTCTCAACATCTTTGAGCTTTTTTGGAAAGGTTGAAAAAAACGAAAGAACCCACACACGGAAACGTGTTAGCAGTAAGAAAGTGGGTCAATAGGAACTGAGAGCACCGTTTGTTTCCACGCTTTTGTCTGTGTTCTTTGTTGGGTTTTTTTTTTCTCTCCCCTCTCTCTGCCTCAGCGCTGAGGCTTTTACGCAGGGAATTTTTTTTTTATGTCCGTCTGGAACAGAGAATCTTAAAAGAGCGGATGGACTCGAATTATTATAAGATTGTGAGAGAATATGTATTTGAAAAGAAAACCTCAAAGAGTCGATCATCAAATCTGGGACTTGAACATTTCTTTGAACAAACCTATGGTAGGAGGACGTTCTCCGGTGGCCAAAAAAATGAACGTCAAAGACTGGGACGATGCACAAAAACCTTGACTTGACTTGACTTGAATCCCAGTGGAGATTAAATATAAAATATACTGTATATGAGAGAAGAGCGGGGGATTCTGAAGGAGAACTCACTGGACGTGAGAGTTTATGATTCAGCATAAATCTCACACAAATGTTGGCATAAAATTTAATATTATTATAATTATATGAGTTGTCGTTTCGATCTGTCGATTTGTCGATCTGTCGATCTAAACCCTGGTTTTCATAACACTGCAAATTGTTATTCTATTCATCACAAATTATTCCTGCCCCCCCCCGTGTCTCCCCTCTCTCTCTCCCCCATTATTGTTATAATCCTAATGCATGCACCGTTGCGGACCGAGCCAGTTTCCAGTGAAATGCAGATATGAGTGTGTGTGTGTGTTTTTTTTCCTTTTTTTTTATTATGGGATAGACGCAGCACAGCGTGCGAGAGCAAATCCCATTCAAACAGGTGTGAAGAGCAGGAACAATTCCAGGCGGCGTGTGTCGATCTCGGATACGCGGCCATAAAAGCAGCGCAGTCTCAACATCTTTGAGCTTTTTTGGAAAGGTTGAAAAAAACGAAAGAACCCACACACGGAAACGTGTTAGCAGTAAGAAAGTGGGTCAATAGGAACTGAGAGCAACGTTTGTTTCCACGCTTTTGTCTGTGTTCTTTGTTGGGGTTTTTTTTTTCTCTCCCCTCTCTCTGCCTCAGCGCTGAGGCTTTTACGCACAGGTGGGAGAGACCCGCTCGGCGTGTAGGACAGCCCCCCTCTCTGCTCCTCAGCCCATGGTGATGTGAGGAAGTGACATTTTTTTTCCTCTTCCTCCTCCTCCTCCTCCACCTCCACCACCACCGCTGCGGTTCGGGACACCACAGCGCTTGCCTCTCTCTGCAAACAGGTGTGCTTCCGTCCGGGTCACTTCTGCTGGGAGCAACCACCAAGGGGGGAGGGGGGTGAGGAGGACTGCGTCCCACCACATATCCTGAACCCAGACTCCGAGAGACGCGGGACCGGCACCGGCAGAGACCGGCGGATGAAAAATCGACCCGGCCGATAGTCCTCTTTATTCGCCTGGGCTGTTTGAACGGGTTCAGACGGAGCGACTGAGAGAGAGAGAGAGAGAGAGAGAGAGAAAAGGAGGGGAGGGAAAGGAGAGAGAGAAGGGGGGAGCGATGGCAACGAAAAAGGCGTGCGTGGATGTCTCCAAAAGGAGCCGGAGTCCGGTGGTGCTGGAGGCGGAGATGTTTAGTGAATTTCAGGACTGGTGTCTCCGGACTTATGGAGACTCGGGCAAAACTAAAACGGTCACCAGGCGAAAATATAACAAAATCATGCAGACACTGTTGCAGAGCGACGAGTCGGACGTCGGCGTGTACGTGGATAACAGCCACATCAACGCCAAATTCAAATTCTGGGTGAAGTCCAAGGGATTTCAGGTCGGGACTAACGTTTTGGGAGAGCACAACAAGAAAGGGGCGCCAGGGAAACCCGTCCTGTATGTGCCGGTCAAGTCAACGGTAAAGTGTGTGTGAGGATGTGTGTGTTTGTGATTGTGTGTGTGTGTCTGTGTGACAGCGTGCGTGTACACGCACACGGGATGTCCCGTTGCCGCCTATGTCTCTTCCGAGATGTGATCAAATCAGGGCGCACGCACTTGTTCCCTGTCACGGGAATTAAAAAAAAAAAAAAACCGACAACTTGTCTTGTGTTATGTGGTCCCGACTTGCCCTGCTCGGGCTTGATAAACATTCACTTTGTTCACATCCCCATCCTGCCTCATCCCCTGCTGCCATGGCAACGCCGGTGCCTCCTGGCGATCGCAAATGTA